CCTTGCAGGAAATTGTCACACCACTTTTTTTTTCTCCAGGAATATTTCTTATACTTGCTGGAAGGATATTGAACAGCCGCTGATGTTTATACAGTGTTTTCTGAGATTGGCTATGGCACCTCTGCTCTTCACTGGCATTATTCTGCATTTCCTGCCATATCGTTCACTCTAGATCTTTTATTGATCTTATTATACTCTTGTTGGCTTTCTCCTGATACTTCCAGTATGTTGTTATTTTACTGTGTAGATTTGGGACCTGGCCCTCCAGTATTTTCCACGTGTATATTATTTGGTATCTCTCTCGTCTCCTTTCTAGTGAGTACATTTGGAGAGCTTTGAGACGAATTCAATAATTTAAGTGCTTTAGCCTGTCTATGTATGCCGTATATGTTCTCTGTATTCCCTCTATTTCAGCAATCTCTCCTGCTCTGAAGGGGGAAGTGAGTACTGAGCAGTACTCAAGACGGGACAACACAAGTGACTTGAAGAGTACAACCATTGTGATGGGATCCCTGGATTTGAAGGTTCTCATGATCCATATCACATCATTTTTTTCCTAGCTTACTGATATATTTGCTCGGTTATACTCCCAAAATATCAGGTCGTCAGACATCATTATTCCCAGATCTTTTCCGTGTTGCTATCCTACTGTGAGCAGATTTAATTGTATCTGTTAGTCGGCTGGTGGTTAGTCCACAGAAGGTCCTGCCAGATATCACACACACTTATAACATGATATCCAACCACTTCAAAAGTAATTTGAGGTTTAATATTTGTATTTAATTAGTACATTATTATTAGGAATAGATTGGTGGTAGGAGGACCCCCATTATTCGCCATCTCAGCTCTGATCACACAGGATCCAAACATGTATGTGTGTGTTTTTGTGATTTTCTGACATAGTTACAAATTTATATTTTGCCCCGAAGGGCGGATTGATTGGGTTAGCTTTCAGAGTCACTCATCCTATGAGTGGATGGAGGAATGGAGTATCCTCCAATATCCTCCACTCAATAGAGGAATGTTCATTCATTCCTCCATTGAGGCTGTATTGGGCAAGTAGGATCCATTGGGCATTTATACGACCATTTACGAAACCTGTGCATCTTTCCTTAACCTTGGCGGTTGTGTTTACATGTATTAAGCAGTTTATAAGCACCGAGGTTGTTTATAACAATAACAACCTTGGGTTGAAGAGTTTCCAAGCTTGTCAGCTGTTTAATAAATGTAAACAGAGCCGTTATGATTGAGGAAAGATGAAAAGGTTTCGCAAGTGATCAGTGAAACTTGACACTAGTCTGTTCATCACCTTGTAAAGGTGTAGCTTCATGTGGGCTGTGGTTTGCCTGAAACAGTACACAGGCTGCAGGCTCAGACTACAGGTTCAGATACAGGTTCAGGCTGTAGATTCAGGCTGCTGGCTCAGCCTGTAGGTTCAAGCTGCAAGTTAGGGCTGTAGGTTCAGGCTGTGGTCGTGTTATAGGTCACCCTATAGTCGTCACCTGGTTATAGCTTTTGACCACTGACGAGCTGATTGCCTGGTTGGACTTATGGTCCTAAACTCTAAATGGATTCAAGGGCCATTTGCTCTAAATCTGTGGCTGGAGACTATATATATATAAATATATATATATATATATATATATATATATATATATATATATATATATATATATATATATATATATATATATATATATATATATATATATATATCCCCTGAGTTTCGATCTAAGACCCTGAGGGAGTTATGGACCTGAAGGGCCTGGCTGCTGCTGGGTGATTACAGGAATGTGGTCGGATCCTATTTTCTTGCACCGGGAAAACACATTTCCCTGAGGATCTGCGTGGCTTTGTGATCTGCTGAGGTCTGCTGAGGTCTGCTGAGGTCTGCTGATACGGATGGTGGGACGAGCTGTGAGCTGTGGATGTCGTGAGAAGGTTTCTGCATAGCATTAAATCCAGTTGGATGGAAGACAGGATATGGAGTCTAAGGGTAAGTGGGTAGATTATATAGTTATCTTGAGATGATTTCAGGGCTTAGTGTCCCCGCGGCCCGATCCTCGACCAGGCCTCCACCCCCAGGAAGCAGCCCGTGACAGCTGACTAACTCCCAGGTACCTATTTACTGCTAGGTAACAGGGGCATCAGGGTGAAAGAAACTCTGCCCATTGTTTCTCGCCGGCGCCCGGGATCGAACCCGGGACCATAGGATCACGCGTCTAGTGTTCTGTCCCCTCAGCCACCGGCTGAGGGGTCTGTAGTTTGTACAAATCCACAAGGGCCGTGACGAGGATTCGAACCTGTCTGGGATGCTCCCGGACGCAGGTTCGAATCCTCGTCACGGCCCTTGTGGATTTGTTCATTTGATGCATCACGTTATTGTGATCTCTGTGTGTGTCTGAAGTTTGTATTTCAATGGTTACGATTGGATTAGTTTTCGGTTTGGATATTGCGAAGCAGATGGCTCTCTTAACACCAATATCCAACCCCCATCACCTCAGACTCCACCATCTTTAGATGGAGAGTCTCTATAAAGTGAGAGGAAGTAGAGGGAGAGGACTTCAGTGGAAGCTGGAAAACTCAAATAGAGATCTTCAAACGGAAGCTGGTAGTTAACAGTGGGAGGCTTCTCAATCCACATCTTAAATAGGGCCAGATTTGACAAAAAGAATCGCCTGTACATGCATAAGTAATAATCTTATTCCACTAAAACCTTCCCAGAGTACTATATGGTTGTGTTGATATAGACAATCGGTGTCTATATCAGGGGGGAGGGGGGCCTTGACAGCTGAGTGGGCAGCGCTTCGGATTCGTAGTCCTGAGGTTCCGGGTTCGATCCCCGGCGGAGGCGGAAACAAATGGGCAGGGTTTCTTTCACCCTGAAGGATCTGTTCACCTAGCAGTAAATGGGTAGCTGGGATTTAGACAGCTGTTACGGGCTGCTTCCTGTGTGTATATGTGGGGGGGGGACAAAACACCAGTTGATTAATTGACAGTTGAGAGGCGGGACCAAAGAGCCAGAGCTCAACCCCCGCCAACCCAACTAGGTGAGTACACTACCACCACAACCACCCAACAACAAGATAACAACCTCCCCTCTTTTTCTACACTGCTATCCTCCCCCCCCCCTCTCCCCTTTCCCCCTCACCCCCCTCCCATTGGTACTTACCGGGAGTCACGCAAGGATAACCATGTGACCACTCACCTGGAGGCCTGTGCACGCAACCACACGCACCACGCCTCTACCTCTTGTGTTGCGTGCACCCAGCTGTCCCCCCTACCACAACTTGTACTTCACACACCCAGCTGTCCCCCCTACCACAGCTTGTACTTCACACACCCAGCTGTCCCCCCTACCACAGCTTGTACTTCACACACCCAGCTGTCTCTACCACAACTTGTACTTCACACACCCAGCTGTCTCTACCACAACTTGTACTTCACACACCCAGCTGTCTCTACCACAGCTTGTACTTCACACACCCAGCTGTCCCCCCTACCACAGCTTGTACTTCACACACCCAGCTGTCTCTACCACAGCTTGAGAACTTCACACACCCAGCTGTCTCTACCACAGGTTGAGAACTTCACACACCCAGCTGTCCCCCCTACCACAGCTTGTACTTCACACACCCAGCTGTCTCTACCACAGCTTGAGAACTTCACACACCCAGCTGTCTCTACCACAGCTTGAGAACTTCACACACCCAGCTGTCCCCCCTACCACAGCTTGTACTTCACACACCCAGCTGTCTCTACCACAGCTTGAGAACTTCACACACCCAGCTGTCCCCCCTACCACAGCTTGTACTTCACACACCCAGCAGTCTCTACCACAGCTTGAGAACTTCACACACCCAGCTGTCCCTACCACAGCTTGAGAACTTCACATACCCAGCTGTCTCTACCACAGCTTGAGAACTTCACACACCCAGCTGTCTCTACCACAGCTTGAGAACTTCACACACCCAGCTGTCCCTACCACAGCTTGTACTTCACACACCCAGCTGTCTCTACCACAGCTTGAGAACTTCCCACACCCAGCTATCCCTACCACAGCTTGAACTTCCCACACCCAGCTGCACCTACCACAGCTTGAATTTCACACACCCAGCTGCACCTACCACAGCTTGAATTTCACACACCCAGCTGCACCTACCACAGCTTGAGAACTTCACACACCCAGCTGTCTCTACCACAGCTTGAACTTCCCCTACCCAGCTGTCTCTACCACAGCTTGAGAACTTCACACACCCAGCTGTCCCTACCACAGCTTGAGAACTTCACATACCCAGCTGTCTCTACCACAGCTTGAGAACTTCACACACCCAGCTGTCTCTACCACAGCTTGAGAACTTCACACACCCAGCTGTCCCTACCACAGCTTGAGAACTTCACACACCCAGCTGTCTCTACCACAGCTTGAGAACTTCCCACACCCAGCTATCCCTACCACAGCTTGAACTTCCCACACCCAGCTGTCCCTACCACAGCTTGAATTTCACACACCCAGCTGCACCTACCACAGCTTGAATTTCACACACCCAGCTGCACCTACCACAGCTTGAGAACTTCACACACCCAGCTGTCTCTACCACAGCTTGAACTTCCCCTACCCAGCTGTCCCTACCACAGCTTGAGAACTTCACACACCCAGCTGTCCCTACCACAGCTTGAATTTCACACACCCAGCTGCACCTACCACAGCTTGAACTTCCCACACCCAGCTGTCTCTACCACAGCTTGAGAACTTCACACACCCAGCTGTCCCTACCACAGCTTGAACTTCACACACCCAGCTGTCTCTACCACAGCTTGAGAACTTCACACACCCAGCTGTCCCTACCACATCTTGAGAACTTCACACATCCAGCTGTCCCTACCACAGCTTGAACTTCACACACCCAGCTGTCTCTACCACAGCTTGAGAACTTCACACACCCAGCTGCCTTTACCACAGCTTGAGAACTTCACACACCCAGCTGTCCCTACCACAGCTTGTACTTCACACACCCAGCTGTCTCTACCACAGCTTGTACTTCACACACCCAGCTGTCCCTACCACAGCTTGTACTTCACACACCCAGCTGTCTCTACCACAGCTTGAACTTCACACACCCAGCTGTCTCTACCACAGCTTGAGAACTTCACACACCCAGCTGCCTTTACCACAGCTTGAGAACTTCACACACCCAGCTCTCTCTACCACAGCTTGTACTTCACACACCCAGCTGTCTCTACCACAGCTTGTACTTCACACACCCAGCTGTCCCTACCACAGCTTGTACTTCACACACCCAGCTGTCCCTACCACAGCTTGTACTTCACACACCCAGCTGTCCCTACCACAGCTTGAGAACTTCACACACCCAGCTGTCCCTACCACAGCTTGAACTTCACACACACCCAGCTGTCCCTACCACAGCTTGAACTTCACACACACCCAGCTGTCCCTACCACAGCTTGAGAACTCCACACACCCAGCTGTCCCTACCACAGCTTGAGAACTTCACACACCCAGCTGTCCCTACCACAGCTTGTACTTCCCACACCCAGCTGTCTCTACCACAGCTTGAGAACTTCACACACACCCAGCTGTCTCTACCACAGCTTGAGAACTCCACACACCCAGCTGTCTCTACCACAGCTTGAGAACTTCCCACACCCAGCTGTCCCTACCACAGCTTGTACTTCCCACACCCAGCTGTCCCTACCACAGCTTGAGAACTTCCCACACCCAGCTGTCTCTACCACAGCTTGAGAACTTCACACACCCAGCTTTCTCTACCACAGCTTGAGAACTTCACACACCCAGCTGTCTCTACCACAGCTTGAGAACTTCCCACACCCAGCTGTCCCTACCACAGCTTGTACTTCCCACACCCAGCTGTCCCTACCACAGCTTGAGAACTTCCCACACCCAGCTTTCTCTACCACAGCTTGAGAACTTCACACACACAGCTTTCTCTACCACAGCTTGAACTTCACACACCCAGCTGTCTCTACCACAGCATGAACTTCCCACACCCAGCTGTCCATACCACAGCCTGAACTTCACACACCCAGCTGTCCCTACCACAGCTTGAGAACTTCACACACCCAGCTGTCCCTACCACAGCTTGAGAACTTTCCACACCCAGCTGTCTCTACCACAGCTTGAACTTCACACACCCAGCTGTCTCTACCACAGCTTGAACTTCACACACCCAGCTGTCTCTACCACAGCATGAACTTCCCACACCCAGCTGTCCCTACCACAGCCTGAACTTCACACACCCAGCTGTCCCTACCACAGCTTGAACTTCACACACCCAGCTGTCCCTACCACAGCCTGAACTTCACACACCCAGCTGTCCCTACCACAGCTTGAACTTCACACACCCAGCTGTCCCTACCACAGCTTGAACTTCACACACCCAGCTGTCCCTACCACAGCATGAACTTCACACACCCAGCTGTCTCTACCACAGCTTGAGAACTTCACACACCCAGCTGTCTCTACCACAGCTTGAACTTCACACACCCAGCTGTCTCTACCACAGCTTGAGAACTTCACACACCCAGCTGTCTCTACCACAGCTTGAGAACTTCACACACCCAGCTGTCCCTACCACAGCTTGAACTTCAGACACCCAGCTGTCCCTACCACAGCTTGTACTTCCCACAGCTTATAGCGAGGCCGCAATCTCCTACCTGTGTGGGTCACTCGACCCATACCCACGTTGCTGGTCCACCCAGGAACGTGGGTATAGTGGGTATTGAAGCGGCTATAATGACTGGTGGTATTCAAGCTGTGGTATGGCTGGTATTGAAGGGGGAGGAGGAGGGGGAAGAAAAGGGGTCGCATAGCAGCAGGGAATGATGGGGATATTGAAGGGGGTCGAAGAGGGGGTGTTGCAGAGGTGTTCCAGGTAGATGGTGAAGAGGGCTGCCATTTAAGTATTTAAAAATCACTACTATCTTCAGATCTGCAAGCCTTGCACGCCCTTCTTAAACCATCTTGGTGTTTCCGTCTGAATTATTCAATCTTATTCGCGGCAACTGCAAATATCGGGATCTAATTATTTCTTCCAGTTATTAAAACTTGATATTCTTATGAGTTCTGAGTTCTCGAGAGCCGGTGGATGTGAGACCAAATAAGCAATACTCATAAATGAGGCAGCAGACAAAGCCCCTGACATAACTAGCATTATAAATTGATGAGGGAGACTTAACTTATTCCATTCGGGTGACCTGTCTGCCCCCGACACTCATAAGGAGGTGCCCTCATGAGTAAGCCACATGGGCAGTGTGGTCAAGCAAGCTAAAATGAGGGTGGTGTTGGTAGTGTGAGGCTCCGAGACTAGTATGAGGGTGGTGTTGGTAGTGTGAGGCTCCTAGACTAGTATGAGGGTGGTGTTGGTAGTGTGAGGCTCCGAGACTAGTATGAGGGTGGTGTTGGTAGTGTGAGGCTCCTAGACTAGTATGAGGGTGGTGTTGGTAGTGTGAGGTTCCGAGACTAGTATGAAGGTGGTGTTGGTAGTGTGAGGCTCCTAGACTAGCATGAGGGTGATGCTGGTAGTGTGAGGCTCCTAGAGTATGAGGGAGGTGTTGGTAGTGTGAGGCTCCTAGCTAGAATGAGGGTGGTGTTGGTAGTGTGAGGCTCCTAAGTATGTGGTGTTGGTAGGTGAGGCTC